AAAAAAAAAAAAAAAATCTACCACCGATGACAGTCAGGGCAATGCTGAGTTTCCCGCCAAGATGGAAATTAGCGGGAAGAATTTCCCGCCAAGATGGAAATTAGCGGGAAGAGTCTTCCGCCAAGACGGAAATTAGCGGGAAGAATCTCCCGCCAAATCGATACGGAACTGACAGCCGTCGATTTTTTTTTAAGTACGGTGGACATCTTCTTCCTTTGGCCCCTCCCTCCCCCTTCCCGCCCTTTTGCAATCCCTCTTATCTTGTGGCCAGACCTTTTTTCTCTTCTGCAAATGCCTGCAATAGCCAAAAAAAAAAAAAAAAAAAAAACAGATTAGCATGGGCCGTGCGCAAGGATGAGACATACAAATCGAGAAATGGACCGAAAGCGAAAAATAAAAATAAAAATAAAAAAAAATCAGCCCAGGGCGGAGGTTGGGCACTAGCAAAGAGGATTGAATGTGACGCCTGAATCTGCACGTTTTTGTGGAGAAGGTGCAGACAATCGCGATCGATCTGCTTTTCTGCATCTGTCCATGCGACACATCCAGATTCAGACGCTTAATCCAATCCTCTCTTTGCTACCGTGTTCCCCCCGAACACAGCGCACCCTTATTATGAATGTATACAAGCTACTTTTCCGGTCCCATACAATCAGATCGTCAGCACAAACGCAAAAAAAGAAGACGTTTTTCTTTCTATTACACTTGTACGCTTAAATTTCACCGCACCCTTATTATGAAAATGTATACAAGCTACTTTTCCGGTCCCATACAATCAAATCGTCAGCACAAACGCAAAAAAAAAGACGCTTTTTTTTCTATTACACTTGTACGCTTCAATTTCGAATTAAAAATTTCAATCTAAAATTTCAAAAAAACAAAAAAACAAAAAAAAAAACAGATGAAGAAGAATTGAACTGGATTGAAACTTACTCCAGACAACAATCTGTCCGTCCGCACCGATCCAAGGATCGAACACGTGACCTCCACGTCAAGAGGCAAACAGTCAACCCAAAAAAAAAAAAAAAAAAAAAAAAAAAAAACACTCAACCAAACGGCTAAGTGGACTGGGGTGGAAGTTAAGCCCCAAGATGATGCAGTCTGCACCCGATGGTGGCTCCGATACAACGCCATAGAGTTTGTCTTTTGTGCATGAGGTGAGTAGTGGAGAAAGGGCGACTGATTCTCTTCTTTTTTTTTTTTCCTAATTTATTATATATATGATGGCGACGACGTTGATAACGGCGAGCACCATGATGAGAGAGATGGGCACGAGGATGAAGAAAGAGATTATGTTGAGAACAACGATAATGATCGACTCAATTGCCACAAGAATAGACACTTTTTCTCCCCAATGATAAAAACACCCAGGAACTGGACACTTGAGAAAATCTACTCTCTATGTATCTCTCTATCTAATCTATCTATCTATCTATCTATCTAATCCATCTATCTATCTATCTATCTATCTATCTATCTATCTATCTATCGATCTATCTATATTGACAAAAGAATATCAGAGCGCAAAAGCGAAAAAAGAAAAAGAAAGAAAACAAGGAAAAAATGAATTCGGTTTTCTATCTGCTGCCTTACAACTCCCCCTGTTCACAACCTCTTGCGTATATATATATATATATATCGTATATATACAAATATATATAAATATATATTGTCAAACAGAGCTGTCCGGTAAACCGTAGGCAGAGAGGGAGGGAGAAAGGGAGAAGAGGACAACAAACGAGGAGGGGCTGTGACCGACAAACTGTTTCGTCGGCGTTTCACCCACCCACTCATCAATCAGTAGACGCTGAAGCCTCAACAGTCTGCAGAATCCCCTACCTAACTGGCTGACTGATTACACTGTAAGTGATATAATCCACCTTCCTTAACCGGTTAAGGAAGATGGGGACCACCAACCTGCCGGTCCGCGGTTGTGGTTAAGCATCAACGACTGCCCGACAACTGATGATACCCTGAGGTGGTGGGGACCACCAACCACTGCCCTCACCAAGGTACCTGTGACGAAAATCAAAGCAGAATATCACTCACCCACACCAGATATGGAAATATATTACAGTTTGTCACAGCCCCTCATTTGTTGTCCTCTTCTCCCTCTCTCCATACGGATCATCGGGCCCTTCTCTGTGACGATCTATGTACCACTTACTAGCATTGAAATTTGTTACTGTGACATAAAACTTAATGTTCATACTGTTATCATCACAGTTACTGTGATGATAACAGTATGAACATTAAGTTTTATGTCACATTAACAATTTCATTTCTGTTAACAAAACAGTAATGTTATACGGCCGCCTACCTGTAGGTGGTTTATTTTGATAACATTACTGTTCGTTTCCTGGGTCTTTATTTTGGTTACGATGATCTTGGCAGCGTTGAAAAGAAATAGGGGAAAGAATAACTTCTGATCTTGGATTCCATGGC